ATGATAGAAAATTGCAAATTCTCTGACCAAACTCCAAAATCCATGATTAAAATTAAAGTACCTCTCCACTCCGCCAGCCCTGCTGGTGCCCCTCACTTCCCACCACCATCCGTGTTTTCTTTGATAAAACCAGGAAATCCGTGATTTTCCCCATTTTTCTGTGGGAAACCTGGATCCCTGCTGATCAGAAAATGGCTGCTTTCTGCTGGGTTACATTGAACTAAGATACTAGGTTGTTTTGGAAGTCGCTAGTTTTTCTTCACATAACTACCACCAACAGATGTGTTTAATGGCCACCTCCCCATGAGAAGTGGTCAGTTCAGTCTTCTCCCCTTTCCCCAAGTTATAATTTCCTAAATAAACCTGGTACCGACCTTTTCTTACACATTAGGAGTATGAGCCTACAAACCACTTAATGGTGTTTCATATATTTAAAATTAAGCAAGTATCTTCAACGGACCTGTCTGAATGATTCAGTTCATATAAAGGAGTTTTTGCTGGACTTGGTCCTTCAAGGACATTTCAGTTTGGGGCTATTTAGCACTGCTTTGTGCAGCTCATCTGAAAACTATCACAGTCAGCAGGTGTCACCATTGTTGCAGAAATTGCTACAGGGTGAAAGTGCCAGGAGAGAAGAGAAAAGAGCGCTTACTTGAATCTTTGGTGAAAACTTCCTGCTTGAGCTATCAGTTCCTTGGTTTCTCAGAGCCAGCATTTATGGCAGGAGATGCTGGCTCAAACTAACCAGGAACTGGCAGAACAGCTAGGAAATCCAGCTTTCAATACCTTGTTTTTGGCAGCTGTCTACATTTAGATTAGCCTGATGTTTTATTTATATTTTAAAACAAAACTTAAAAGCTATCAGGCTTGTGAGGCTCGTTATTCTCTGACTGGGGGAGTATGGTACAATAAATACAGCTGTGATGGGTGAACAGGGAAATACATTAAGACTTATGCTCTGGCAGCCTTGCTAAAGGGGTACAGAAAAGTCTGGCATGTAGCATTTTTTTCTAAAATCTCTGGATAGTGAATGCTAGTGTGTTTTCTGTGCAGTTGCACACACCACCACCATATTAAACTTGTTTCCCACTGGCTTTATTGTTAAAATTCAAAGAGCAGCTAATGCCTCATTGAAAACATTCTTTTGAGAAATAGGACAGGCTCACTATCCTGTTTTCTCTCTCACTTAAGGAATATTTCTGTAGCATTCCAACACAGCTTAGACACCATGCAGGAACATCTTATTTACTACTGTGAGTTAGCCTTAATTTCCCCAATATATTTTGAGATAGCACCAGCCTCAAGTGGATAATTTGCATGAAAACAGGGGTTGCTATTGGTTTGTCTATTCATGGCTTTCCCCAGGTTCTGTACTGATCTTCTGAAATCATAGGAGTTGCTTCATAGTGAATGGCAACCTCAGATAATACAATCCTGTTGTCGTGTCACTATCCTTACTGGTCCTGAACTTTAGTTTATTGTACCTAGACTTGTGCGGTGAAACCATACCCCATATTTTAAAATGTGTCTTAATAGAACATTATATCATAAATACCAAGTACTGTAGTCTAATTGTATAAGTTTCCCAAACTACAGTTTCTTTAGTTACCTTTGTTGGACTTACCTCATCTTTTTCCCCCGCAAAAGAACCTGGATTCTGCTGCCTGTTTTTTGCTTCTTCAGATTTCTTCTCCTTTTTATAAGTAGCTCCAGCAAGATCTATCTCTCTCTGGATGGTTGGAGAGCTGTTTCCACAGTCCTCCCTGACCTTGGATCCTCTACAGAACTTTCTCACTTCTTCCAGCTCTTTTATCCCAGTGAAGCTGCAGAGATTCCCTTTTATCTGTCTCAAAGTCTATCACCTGTGGAGGTAGCTAAGGAGGAATAGGTGGGGCTAAGCTCAATTCTCTTTAAAAATTGGTCTGCTCTGTGGCAGACAGGTTTTAACTTCCAGGTATCTTTTTCAAAGCCAGTCTCATTAGTTATTTGATCAATTTTAGCTATTCTCCAGCTGGGCGCTTCAGTAACTTAAGCTGTCAGAGGAACAGGATTTACATCTAATAAGAACCATTAATGACAATTGGGAAGTCTAAGGAGAGAGGATCAAGTGGCTTATGGAGTGTTAACTCCCATAAATGGAGGAGTGATGGCTGTAGCTGATGAGTGAAGTGTATTGGTGTGGTTGAAGCCAAAAAGAAGCATCACTTATGTGACTAAGAGTCCTCAGACCTGACAATTGTGTCCTTTTTCAGTACCACCTAATGTCCCTTAAAAATAACCTTGGCAAAATATGGTTTAACTCCTTGCTGTGTTCTTTTATTCCAGGAAATAGCTGACAAAGAGATTGCCGCCCTGCCCCGGGACAGCTGCCCTGTGAGAATCCGGAATAGGTGTGTCCTGACATCTCGTCCTCGAGGTGTGAAACGGCGCTGGCGGGTTAGTCGAATTGTCTTCCGCCACCTGGCTGACCACGGTCATATGTCTGGGATACAGAGAGCTATGTGGTAAATCACCGCCAGGACTTCTTTGTTAAAAAGAGACAGACTGGGCCCAGTTCATGCTTTCCAGGAATTACAGCAAAATTGTTTTTGCTTCTATGTCCAGCATAGGTGTTATAGCAAGGAACAGAAGCAGTGGTCCCACTATAGTTCAGTCTTAAGGGCCCTGACAGTTACCAGAGAAAGGGACAGGAGAAAGCATGAATGCATTGAGCCAGTCTGTATGAGACAGTTTTACTTTGACACAGAATTGCTACCTTCTTATTAAAGACCAACCTGAAATTTGTAATGAGAAACATTAAAAACAGACATAGCACAAGGATGGTTTACTCCTTACATTCTGGTTGCTGTGCATTCTTCTCCATAATAGTTTGATCAAAAGCAACACAAACAATCATATAATGTAGCATGGAAGTACTCTTGCTAAATGCAAAGTCATAAGCCAACTGCTGAGCCCAAGTTGGTGTAAGGTTTGTGTGTGTCTCCTGATGTAGACTGTCCACTAGTTAATATGTAGGGAACACTTGCACAGCTTCTGACCTAAGAGCCCATCAAGCTAGAGTGAAGTTGAGACTTCTCACAGCATGCTTGCATAGTTATAGAGCTGGGTATGGTGGCTCAACATGGTAACAAACAGTTGGTCCTACGCCTCACTCACTAATCAAGCCATTTAATTTTTCTGTGGCTTAGTTCTCTTCAACATTAGACAAAGGCTTCAGTCAGGGAACATTACATATGTCTCAAGTGCAATGTTGTTTTTGTATAGACATGGAATAGAGTCAAGTGTGCTGCCTATCTTCTAACCTTTCCCATTCCTTCCTGTAATCAACAGTGTAATGGAGAAGCATACACAGTTCCCCTCTTTCAGTGTCCTGGTATAAAAGAATACACCATTTTGAAGGGAGCTACATTAGTGAAGTGAGTCGGAGCCTAATTTTCCTTACAACACTGGGAAAGCAACATAGGCAATTAATTTGGCAGTCACCTCTGCCATTCAGGCAGATTATTTGAGGTGGGGAACGAAGGGTGGAGGGGTTTGTGATTATCTCTTTCTCCTTTGATATGCCTACCGTCACTTGACTAAATGATGGCCCATTATGTCCTTTTCCCCCATGTACAAATTTAAGATTTTCTCTAGGACTCCTACCAATGCACAGTTACCACAACCCCCCCCCCCGACCTTGCTTCTCATGCATTTCCTGGACCATCATGGCTACAACACCCCATCCCTTACACCAGAAGCAGCTGAGCAGCCCCTTATTGATGCCAGCCTGAGGTCAATCAACATAGGGCTCTGTGGCCTGAATGGAGAAGTCAGCAATGTATTAGGCTACTATAGCCTCACCTTTAGGGTCATGGTCACAGCAATCTAAACATTTATTGTTTGGTACTGTACATTCTCTACAAGACCTAAAAGGTAGAGGGTAGTTACATTTTATTTTGCTAGGCCCTGAATTGGTTTGGCATCTTGCTCTTCATGTGGTGGCTAATTGTGCCTCAGCCTCCTGGATTTGGGAGGCGAGAGAAGGGAACAACAGTTACATTGCTGGATACTGATAAGATCAAAGACTGCTGGCCAGAGGCAGCCGCTAGTTAAGTCTTTTGTACACAAATTCTCCTAAGCACACACAATCAGTCTCTGGACTAGCAACAGGTACTACCATATGGTGTTGACAGACATGCAGCTCCTTGGTCTAATTCATGGCACTTTCTGTAAAGTGCCATGAGTTAGACCAACCCTCTTGACCCAACAGACATTTGTCATTTGCTGCATTGGAGGTGGGGAGGGGAGTTCCAATCCATCTGCCCCCACTACAGTGCAGGCTAGGTAAACCCCAACCCGAGCTCCCAACCCGAGCTCCCTCCCCTCCCATTGTGCAAACAGCATAGGAGGCAGAACTGGCTAGCAGCCCAGCCACCCAATCAGACAGAAGTTAATGAAGGTGCTCCACTTTAGAGTTCCTACATCTGAACACTTACATGAGGGTTCATTTGTCCTGTGATCAGGAACTTTTAAAGTGCTCTGCAGCTGTGCACTTCTGGAAGAGCATGGCTGTAGAGCACTTTCAGAGGGCTGATCGCATGACAAATGTAACTTCTGTCTATGCCCATAAAGAAGTGTGTGCTAATCAGGCTTTCTTCAGAGCTCTTACCCTTGCACTTCAGCCTGAAACAGTGTTAATACCAACAGATCAGATCTGTTTTTCAGTTCACCTAGCAGATGTTTTGTTGCAAGATAGCAGTTCCTCTTCTACCATTAAATTTTCATCATAAATGTAGACATACCTGTCCTTTTGGAGCATGTGAAAACATTTTCTCCTGCTTCCTGCATGTAGAAAAATGACGTAGGCTTCAGCTGTTACAAGAGGGCTAGGAACTAGAGTAGAGAACAGCAAACACTTTGACTTTAACCAACAACTTGCATTTATTTTCCTTTGTAATGTTTGCATGTTGTCAGTTTCTCAGATGAACAAAAAATAATGAAATGCTCTTGGAGGCCATGGAAAGACAAATACCCTGTACTCTTCAGGAAAGAGGGTCCCACTTGATTGAGGGAAATGGGTTTTAAGCATACTTTATTTAAATAATTTCTCCAGCCTGAAATCAAAAACAGCTAAGTGTCTTTGCTTGGAAGTAGGTTGTGTAAACAATGCGCTTATAAGACCTGCCCTCTGCAGCACAACAAAAGTCCCATACGAAGATCCATATTAAGGCCCCCTTCGGAGTAGTATCAAATATCCATTGGTATGTCCCCTTTAGATTGTTTTTCTCTACTCTCAACCCAGGCCTTATTAATGGTTCTTTTCATGTCATCATCCCCCTCTGAATACATCTTTTTCAGAAGGTTCATCAGCCCTTCACCAGGGTCTGACGTGTCATATGCAGCCTTCCTGTAAGACAAAAGGGATGGGTATGAAATAGACTTGTCATTTCTCTGCTAAATTTTAAATGCTTTAACAATTCTTTTGCAAAAGGATCAGCAATATATAGGATTTTGCCTCTGGTTTTAGGAAATGACAGGATATAGTCCCACACTATCACACAAACTCAGAACCCATAAAAACAATAGCAAGGTGAAAACTCTAGTAGGTTTAGTGGAATAAACTAAGATCTTGGAGCTGTCCCTTATTAAAGAGAACAGCTTTGTAGTAAGAGTTAGGGTTGTAAGCATTTAAACTTCATGGAGATGTAACAATTTATTACCAGACCTAGGGAGTGCCACAACCCATGTTTACTTTTGCTACAAAAGCTGTGCAAGTGATTGTTTCCAGCCTCTTAAGTGAAAATTGCATGGTGTCCCCCTTCCTAAAACAGAGACAGAGGTCTGTGACACCACTGGATTGGCTCTTTTAAGATAAGTTTCACTGAGTACTTTTCACAGCTGAAGTAGTCAAGTGACAAGAACGTAAATTAATTTTTTCTGGTGCCACAGTTGTTACTAAAGTCATACACGTCCGAAATACATAGGATGGAGAAAACCCACCCAAGAGCTACTCCCCTTAACCTGCCTTCAAAACTCTTTGGCCAGCTAGTTTAAAGTAATGGGTTGAACCATGCTCTAAGACAGGAAGGAGTTAAGTTCTGCACATGGGGAGCCCATCTCTGAAAGCTGAGCACTAGTCTGACAGCAAAATCATACTAGGTGATTTCTAAAGTGACTTGGTCCTGCACATATTAGGGATTTATAGATTGACACTGCATGGGAGCCAGTGCAAATCTTTGCAGGATTGCCTAAATGGTGCAGTACTGCACTGCAGAGACAGTTTCAGTAGCTATTTCTAATCCTCTGTAATAGTTTGCTTTGTTTGTGTCTTTGTCATTCTCTCTCTCAGGCTCAAAAAAACGATATTTGCGCTCACTTTTCTGGACTTTTAATGATTGATTTCAATTAGTTATGGTGTACTCTCAGTATCCGAGCAAAAATTGTCCTTTAACACCCTTACTTTAACCCATAACACCCTTACCAAGGTGAAGTCAAGAAAAGACGGCAATTGAATGCAGAAAGAATGGCAAGAGTAGGACAAAATGAAACAAATGAGCAAAGAGGGTGTCGTAGAAGAGAGAGGCAAAGGGTTCACAGAGACAATAGAAGACAGGCTGAAAGAGTAGACAACAATAGATTCACTGAAGACGAGCTTGAGGAACATAGCTGTGGATTGATGAACGTGGTGTGACACTTTTGTAACTCTTTAAACTTCCAAGCTGAAAGACGGTCAGATGGCCAATTCCGGAGTTGTTGCCATAAGGGTAAAGTGATTCCGCCTCCAAGGAGACCGTTTTCAGAGTATTTGCAGGATTTGATGACGAATCAGAACAATGAGCATTACCAGAACTTTAAAACAAACGTTCAGTCATACAACAGTGCATTGTCTATTGAGCAAAGATCATTGTGACGAGATGTATGATTCACGGACCATGTAGAAGACCGAATCCAAATGCACTGTGCATAGAAAATCATCAATGTCTGAAGACATACCAAAGGAGTTTAGAGAGAAGACACTTGGAAATGTTGATGGCTACACGTTGTATAGAAAAACAGGCAGAACCGCTCAAGTTGGTAATGGCACAGTAACAGAAATGTGGTACCATGTAACAAGTAGCCTATTTCTGACGGGCTTTTATGCTAGTAACCTGTTTCTTTGTAGGCTGCATTAATATAAGCATTGCCAACAGATAAAGGTAAATGATTCTTCCCCTCTAAACACTGGTGAGGCCACACCTGGAGTACTGTGTCCAGTTTTGAGCTGCCCACTACAGAAATGATGTGGACAAATTGGAGAGGGCAACAAAAATGGTGAGGGGGCTGGGCCACATGACTTCTAAGGAGAGAAGGAGAAGCTGAGGGAACTGGGCTTATTTAGTCTAGAGAAGAAAAGACTTGAGAAGGGATTTAATAACAGCCTTCAACTACCTGAAGGGTGGTTCCAAAGAGAATGAAGCTAGACTCAGTGGTGGCAGATGACAGAACAAAAAACAACGGGCTCAAGTTGCAGCAAGGGAAGTTTAGGTTGGATATTAGGAAATATGTTCTCACTAGGAGGGTAGTAAAGCACTGGAACAGGTTATCCAAAGAGGTGGTGAAATCTCCATCCTTGGAGGTTTCTAAGACCTGGCTAAACAAAGCCTTGGGTGGAAGGATCCATCTGGGTGGGGAATGGTCCTGCTTTGAGCAGGGGGTTAGACTAGATCATAGTTTCATAATTTCTCAACCTGTGGTACATGTACCCCTGGGGGTACACGAGTCAGGCAGGGGGTACACTAGTACCTCAACACTCTCTCTCGCCCTCTTTTCCTCCCTCTCTCTCTCACCCTCTCTTTTCTTCTCAAAACAATGGCAAAAAAATTGGTGCTAAATTCTCCAGTAACAATTTGGTGTGTTGCACGGCACTAGGTTCAGCCCTCCTAGCTTTGGCCAACATCACCTCTAGCCCAGGTACATACTTGAGCTGTGCACCCCTGGTGTAAAAGGTGGCAACCCTACCCACACCAGATGAGACATCTGTCCTATCACGACCTTACATACACAGCCCTTCTTCCAACATATAGCACACATTTGTCTGTAAGTATAAAATCCCCTGGAAAATTGAGTGTTGGGGTATTTATTAAAATTTTCAGAAGTTTGGGGGTACTTGCTACTTAGAAGGTTGAGAAACACTGGACTAGATGACCTCCTGAGGTCCCTTCCAACCCTCAGTTTTTATGATTCTATGAACCCAGCCCCTTAAGCAGTATATTAAGTCATTTCCCTCTACAGATGGTTCCAGAGGGGAAGGTAGTTTTGTTCTGAATCCAAGTCTTGTAGTTAAGACCAATCCCTACAGGAAGCCTCAGATGATCTTATTGGTGTTGATAGGTTCTGGGACTGCCGTCAGGTAATTTTTTTTAGTTCTTTGCCATAAGGCTTCAAGGTAGAGCCAGAAGGGAAGGACATATAGGAAGAGCTATATACATATATGTATGTATGTAAACATATATGAATATCCTGGTGAAATCCATGATGCTGATGCAGATTCCAACCTAAATTCTTAAACAACAGTAAAGCAATAAAGGGTGACAGAACTCTAGCAATGTAAAGCAAATTCATTCAAATGGTACTAGTCCTGAGTAGGTAAGAAATCTCCATCTCAACTCTAGCAACTCTAGTTCCCTAGATCAACACTTCTCATTTTGTATTTTGGAGATGACATAGTACATAACCAGCTTGTTTGGATATTAAAGCAATTTCCATAGAAGGTAGTGGAATAGATACACTCACTCTTTATCTTTGCTTTCTTTTTCCACTCGAGTAAGGCATTCCCATTTGTCTTCCTGTTTCTTCTTACATAACACAAGGATCATGTCTGTCTTGATCTGCAAAAAGAAAGTAGATTTAAGTTAAAGGGCAAGAAATGAATTAAAGGTATTTATAGCAGATGCAGGTTGCATCCACAACAATTTGGGTAACAGAACAGTTTGTTATAAGCTCCTGGTTCTGGATGCTCCTAACTTCCTGAAATGTTTTATGTTTAAGCTAACTTTTTCTAGCTAGTACATATTTTTAAATCTGCATTAAGCACTGACCTTGGGGGTACAAAGGATAATTTGTTTTGCATCATTTAAAGAGAGGCACAATTAGGTGGAACAGCACTCAATTAAAAAAATGGAAACAAAAATACTCTACAAATTCTAGAACACTCATCATTGTAGGAACACACTGGTCCAAGGTATTTGGCATGCTGAAAGCATCCAGTCCTGTCTAATAAATGACCTCTATTTTTACCTTTTCAAAGGAGCCAGACCAATCAATTCTAACTTTTTCTCCCTGGTGGTTTGCAAACAACATACACCAATCGAAATCTGGAAAAAGCAGTTAGTGATCCTTACGTGGGGTGGCGCGAGATCTTTTAAAGGGTGCTATTGCACCTGGCTCCCATGCAAGAGGATAAGTGCTTGCTTCTTCCCCATCCCAGCACCCACAACTGCTCATCTGGGCACTCCCACTGCTGCCTCTCTGGAAGCCCACTTAACAGTTGCCCCTGCACTCCAGGCTGCTGATGGATGGGGAGGCTGTGCTTTTTAGCTTGGTTCATTCCCTAGCTCCTCCCTGGTCTGTGGAGTTTTGGAGTCCTGAGGACACAGCCAGGAAGGGTTTTGTATGGAGGTGTAAGTCTCTTCTTTCCCAATGAGTAAAGTGTGTATGTGCGTTAAAGTTAATATGCAAAGCTTCTGGGTTCTTTAATGTATTGGTTATTTATCTCTGACAGGTTAAACTCAAAACCTGAGTGTGATTAGAGCTCTACGAAACAAAGTGCTGAAAGTCCTGGGGAGATTTAGAGGATGAGTCAGTCTGAACTGTTCAAGGCATATGGCAGCTACACTGCAGAGTCCCACTTCTACAAAGGGGAACAAGTCAGCACATACACTCCAATGGGGCTCTGGGGCTAGGGACAAAAATTACACACAAACTGGTATAAGTGATTGGAAACCAGTTCAAATCTGTAACACAACAGAAGCTCAGTGCACATAAACCACTTTCAAAACTGTTGAAACCAGTTTAAGATAAACCTGGATGGATGTCATATCAGACTTAACTGATTTAGGTTAAATCAGTTTATTGAACTTCTGTTCCAGACCCTCTCCAGATTCAAATTAACCCACAGTCCTCCAGCATCGCATGATGCTTTGCACCTCCTTGCAACCCCTACCTCACCCCCCCCACCCCTTGTAGGGTGGATGGACTAGCCTTGGCCCAAGCTGTATCCTCCAGCTGAGCAGGGAGGCATTCTCTAGTGCCCCCTGGCTTCTGACCTGGGCCACTGCAGGCAAGTGGCTGCATTTCCGGAATCAAAAGCAAATGTCTGTTCACTTGCTTATCGGTTCAATCTATTCAGCTTACACTAACCTGCAAAGACTGAACTAATTCAGCCTTGGGCTTTTTGACTGTCTATCCTTAGCCCTAAAGGCAAGAACACTACCTGGAAACTATTCAGATTCAATGGGTTTACGAGCCTATGAGATCCAAAACTTGAATCCAAACTCAGCAGGCAGCAGGCTCACCAAAAGGAGACTGACCAAGTCTAAGCCATAACCCAACTATGGTGAAGCAATATAGGTGGGTTACTTTTGCATAGTTTATGTATATTTGTGACAAATACAGAGGAGAAACAATTCTGAATCGCTTTGGGGAAAGGGAGAAAGCAGGGAAATCGGCACATAATACCATTACATCACACTCATCCAGCTCAAAGGAATTTGAGAACTCATGAATTCTAAGGTCTTTTTCCCCAGCTATTTTCAGTTCTGGACATTAGATCGAGACCAGTGATTCCCAAATTGGGTGCTGCAAGATCCTTTTACGGATCTGCGCAAGGAGGTAAGAGCTTGCTCCTCCCCACTCCCCACTAGATTAGGGTGCTGTTAAATTCAGAAAAGTTACAGAAACCAGGAGGGGTCTCTCAAATCTAAAAACATATTTGAGAACCCCTGGGTTAGCATGAACTTTTCTAAGTGCCATCTCAGACCAATCAGCAATGCAAGAGAAACAACCCTCTAACCCTTTCTTTCAAAACCATCAGCACCAGTTACTTGTGGGTATCCACCTGCACAGCTTATGCTCACAACATCATATGTTGCAACCCAGCCTGTGGATTCTGCCAGCCCATCACTGCACTTTTTTTCTCAGTGCAAAAAGACAAAAAATGCCATTTTCAAGAATATGTGGATTCTGGTTTTAAATTACAGAAAGAAGTTACCCAATGCTATCAATGCACCTGTCTAGACCTCTGCACTTCTAGTTCATGCCCCCAACCCATTTTTAATCCAATCTGTATCTAATTTGCTATTTCATTGTTTTGTGATGAGCATGAGTGACCTAAGAGTTCAATACAGCTACTAGTGAATTCAGGAGGGACCTTATTTGAACTGATTTTTTCCAGGGATGACAAGTTAGTTTCTGCCTTCTTTCTGTGGCACTACAAGCAAGGCCCCCAAATTCAGCTGCAACCTTGATCTACATTCTGCAGCCAGACGCCAGCATTCTGCAGCAAACAGAACATTCTGCTGTAGCTCCAAATTAATTCAATTAAAACCTCACCATTTAAAAAATGTAATATTAAAAAGGAGCAATCACTGCATTATCACTTTGATATATACTTAATGTTAAATTCAATTTAATTTACATTGCCTATACTTTTAACACATTAATAATGAATCACTACCATACGTTATATATGTCATATTGGCAGGTGTGCAGGGGGCATGAAAGGCATTTGGCACTTACCATGGTATTGGTCTGAGTTTGTAGATAGACACATTATAGCTATACATTAAAATAATCAGTACTGAAATAGGTAATGAAGTTGTCATCCTTAAGTTTCAAATGAAGCAGACCATTCAGATGAATTGGGCAGGTATGGCTCCAGCTATTTTTTCAGGCTGTATACAAACTTAAGCCATGTACAGGCATTCAGTTTCTATTAAGAAAATCACCATTCCTGGCAGAAACCAAAAGTATGCAGATGTTTAAACTTTTTAATTTCAGAGCATAAATAGGCCACTTGGGGAAAAATAACCCAACTACAATAGATAGAAATCACCCCCAAGGCTAGTTTCTCCTGGGAGAAAGAATGCCTGCATACTTTCCCCCAGTTAACTCTTCTTGGAGATCAGGAAGAGCAGAGGCAGGATAAAGGCTCCTGTGCCTTCCAGAGACCAGTCACCCCAGCCTGGAGAACACGCAGGGTACAGCTGCTACCACCTATCCCATAAACCAGGAGGGGAGCCAGCTGTTTCCCCAAATGAGAAGTTTGCAGGGACTTTGCTGCACAGCTCCCTCTGCTTGGCTGCCAGGCACTGGAGCAACGCAACCCCTAGCCTATTTGCCACACCAGAGTTCCTGGTGTGAGAAGCAGGCAGGAGGTTTTGCTCTAATTCTATAATCCTTTGGGAACAGAACTGGAGCAGCCCATGCTTTCCCCAGACTAGGATCACCTTGGTCACAAGGAACAGGGAAGAAGGGGCAGATGAAGACTGAACATTTGTACTGCTCTCTTTTTTCTATAACTTTTCCTTTGCTAAAACTGAATGTTTCTATGTAATCTTCCCAAGCAAGCCAAGATTTTTTTTTCGAAATGTGAGGACTAGATACTTGGGGCGAAAATTTTAAAGGGATTCAGAAGCCTAAAGATGAAAGCAGGTTTCTAATGGAATTTTCAAAAGTACTAATGCAGGTTAGGCACTTAATTCCCACTGATTTTCCTTGAAAATTATACTAGACAACATCCTTAATGTTCTGTATTCTGCAGCCACAGAACATGTGAAGTCATGCTGAGAACAAGCAAGATGGTTTATGGTTAAAGTGATTCTGTAAGGCTGAACAAGAATTCTGCTGAGCCACGAAACAAAGTCTCAGATGAGGAAGGGGTCTAATTCAGTAATGCCCAGACTTTTCACCCTGTGGGCTGGATGGGCAGTGCCAGGTCCCTCTGTGGACTGGATATCGTTGATGGGCCAGATCTGGCTGCAGGGGGTTGCGCAACCCAACATTGATCCATCTGCCTGGGGCAGTGATGATGGCAGGGTGGCTCCAATTTGAATGCAAGGGAAGGAACAGACAGACAAAGTGACCCCTATCCATATGTGCATGGGGGAGGGAGAGACAGAACATCTCTGATCCAGATGCGGGGGGGGGGAGCCCGGTCCCAATTCCAATCTGTGCAGGGGAAAGGAGGGAAGAATGGCTCTGATCCAGATGTGTGCCTGGGGGAGGGGAGGGTAGCAGTCCAGCCCTGATCCAGATGCATGGGAGGGACAGTGGAGCAGCCCCAATCCAAACAAGTGAGAGGAGGGACAGCAGCCTGGCCCAATCTGGACATGCAACGTGGGGGATGATCCTGATCCCCCTTCACTGCAATGGCCCAGGTGAAACTGGAGCTAACTATGAAGCTTCCACCGCTCCCTGCTGCCAAACTTCCCTAATCCATGGGCGAGCCCTACATGCTGGATGTCATGGTTCCATGGGCTGGAGGTAGATCACCCTGATCTAAACAAATACCTTTCTAGAACTGCCATCCACAGAAATGGGTTTCAGCAGGTTGTTGAATGTCATGGAGTAATTCCGCCCATTCAGATGTTTCACCAACAAATCAAATGACCTAGAATGGAGAAAGAGTACATCTGTATGCCCCCATCATCATACGCAATATGTAAAATGACATTTAAACAATAGAGAGAGGAGAATATTTGTTTTTCCTGGGATTTCCTCATCTCCAGCTTGCTACAAGATTGTACAAATCCTTGGAAAAATAATCATCTAGAAGGTATAAGAAAATAATAGTCCCATTCAGGGTTCTTTTTCTTACAGCTGTGTCGCACCAACTTCTTGCAGAACCTGGACAAATAACAGCTCTGTTTCAGAACCCCAACCAAGTGTCATGAGTCTTAATTAGAATTTGTAAAATGTTTTGAGATTCTCTGAGAGGAAACATACACATACATATCAGTATGTACTAAAGACAATAGACCATTTTAGATTTTGACCCAGAGGAGTGTTCAACAAAACAGGCCCCTTCATCTGAGATGCAGCTTTTCCAAATGTGCTTTCTGGCTGGCACAGCAAAAGTCTGGACTCACCTCTCTGAGAAATGCACTTGCACATTCTCAGCTGGGAGCTTGTGAACACCATTTAAAGTGATGTAAATCTTCACAAATTTATCTGACTGGTCCCAACCTGCAAGAGAAAAGGACAGGTAGGTTTCTTTCAGCTTTCTTCCACTAGCTCATGACCCGCTTTCCCTGAAGCAAGTACAGTATTCCACCATAGATAATGCTCTGCTGCAACTATCTTCAGATAGCTGGGGAAAGACATCATGCGGAGCATAAATGGAACAGAAGCAACAAGGTTAGGAATGCAATTATCAGCTAAGTTCTTTGGTTTCTCTGGTTCTTCACAGAGAACCAGGGCAGCTCTGCCTGACTAAGCAGGAAAGGATGGAGAGGATCAGAGCTGGGTGGCTGGTTTGACTAGTCTACCTGGCTGCTTCAAAGACCCACTCCTGCAATACCCTGTTAAACTGAGATTGCGTATTAGTGGCCCCCCTATTGTCCTTTCCCCAAGACTAGCATTTTGGGTACTCTGTTCCTTTTGCCTAAACTGCAGCTGAACTGCACATGTTCCCTCAATTCTTGTCAAGTACTGGGGAAGGGGTACTTATGGTTGGGCAGGTCAGAAAGCAGTAATTCCCTGCATTAATAGGGAGTAGAATTTGGGGGTGCTTAACTTTACCCACCCCATGCTTTGGCTACAGGTACAGTAAAAGCTCTGTTATCCTGCATCCCCTGGGAATGGGGGATGCTGGATAACAAAAATATGCCAGTTAATTGAGCGGCCCTGGCCACGGATTCTCCTGCCACGTCCGGAGCGTCCCTCCGCCCCTCCCACAGCATCACCACCACTCCCGCAGGCCCTGAGGACCTGTGGGGCGGGCCCCACAGTCTGTTATGCCCCTGGGCTGTGGGGGCTCAGCAGTGCAAGCTGCTTTGCCCTGAGCCACGGGGGCTCGGAGAAACCAGAAATGCCACGGCAGGCACTTCCAGTTTCACTTCATCTTACAAGCCGGCATGCTGGTTAGTATAGCATGCCGGCTTGTAAGATACCGGTTAACAAAACGTTTACTGTAATTCAGGAAAGGATCTCAATGCTTCACAGGAGCAACCGCTGCGTAACATATCCTGCCCCCTCCTAAAGGGGTGGGCTTATTTTGCTTGGGGCTAGGAAGAGAGATGAGGAATTCCAGAAACTCTGTCCTCCCCTCTTCTAAACATCCCACATTTAAAACATGTTCCATACTGGGCAGTTATTACCCCTATATTTTAAAAGATGCAAACACACACAAACTGAGCATGACTTCCTTCTGTCACCTTCATGATTACACAATTATAACTCATTAACCACTGGTTGGCACTAACAGTGCCCTCAGTTCTGTTAAAACGTATTTTCTCAGCAGGCAGTTGGAAGTGCAAGCTTACCGTAATTGTTGATTTTCACAGTATATCCTCCAGCTGGTGGTTTCTCTTCCTCTACTGCATCACCTTTGGGCTTGGGTCCTGGCTGGTTCTTGATTTCTGTCTCTATCTTATGCTCTTCTGCCATCAGGACATCCTGAATTCTTTTTCTTGTGGCTTTGTTCAACAGCTCTTTAACCTCTTCGAAGTCTTTCTGCAGCTGGGTTTAAGAATAAAAGACCATATATGTGCACTGGATTACATGCTACTTCACCTGAGGCAAACTGTTGTGCCCCTTCACTCATTGAGTGTCCAAAAGAAATAAAGCGCCTGCATACCCAGCAGCCTCTAAAGCAGCTCTAAATATAAATTTAGGTTACCATGTGGACCCGAGTTTTGCTGAACTCACAAAAGCAGCTGGAGAATACAGACCTGCTACTAATACTTGGACTAGTTTCACTCCCTTATTCCCAGGGTAGCAGAACTGAGAGGTGGACTCATTTTAGGGGTGATATTTTTCTGTGTCCTTTAACAAAAAAAAATGAAAGGTATCTTGTTGAGTTAGCATTTTTTTCTAGCAAGACCTCATAAGGCCATACTTTAGTTTTTAGCTGAGCAATGCTTTATGTATGTTTTGCCTTTGCAAGTCCAATTACTCTGGCCTAAGAGAATCATATGTAATAACTTCAAGAAACTTGTCATGGCACAGCTGATCCATTTCACTGGATGAAACAAATGTTGCCCCTTTTCCTGCCCTTGGTGGCGGACACAAGAGGCAATGTGATCTCCCCACTTTCCCCACCCAGGCAGACCTGCATCCCAGACCTGGCTGAGCAGGGAAAGCAGGGAATGACTTTTTCTCACCCAGCCAGATCCACATCCTGCATCTTACTAAGCAGAGAAAGCAAAACAGAGGTAATCAATAGAGGTGGACCAGTATATCAGTGCCATATCAGATTGGCACTGATAAAAGGAAAATTAACATTATTGGCTATCAGCTTTTTTTGGCTGGTGTAGCCGATAATGTGTACTGATAAATAAAATATGCCTTCTGGCCCGGGCCCCCAGATGCCACATGCATCCACAGTGTAGCCAGGCAGTGTGGAGAGCAGCTCCCTGCAAGTAAGTCTGTGGAGAGAAAGGGGAGTGGGGGGATAGGGACGACAGATCAAGGCTCCCATGGTGAGGAGGGAGTAGGGTAGGGGGCACTGCCCTGCCAGGGCAGTCAGTGGAACCCTGGGCCCAGGGCAAGGAGCAGGACAGAGCTGCGGGCAGCTCATCCAGTGAGTGCGGGGGGGAAGCTCCCCGCCGCTGCACACACCCCAGGGGGGCTGTCCACTGTGGGCTCAGGACTTTCTGCCCTGCTGCCTTCTGCCCCAGGAGCCACATGCTAGCCTGGCGTCCTCTGCCTGTCTGGCGGTAGCAGGGGTGCTGAGTTGTGCCTCCTGCCACCAGGCAGGCGGGGGACACAGAGACAGCACATGGCTCCTGGCGCAAAGACAGCAGGTTGGAGAGCCCAGAGTCAGCAGCCCGCCTTTGCCCTGCACACAAATCTGGGGGGCATATGCATCCCTGCACTTAAAAATGGTGGTGTTGGTGCTTGAACTCATTTGATGAGCTCTAGTTCAAGTGCCCCCAGTGCCATTTTTAAGTGCCAGGATACTAATCCCCTGGAGAAGCCGCCTGTGGCTCCATCCTGTGCCCCACCCTGGCCCTGGGATCCCATTCACCACCCTGCTTGGACAGTGCCCCTGGCCCCAGTCCCACTCCCTCCCTCACCGTGGGAGCCTCGACCTGCCCTCATGCCCCTTCCCCTCCACAGACTTACCTGCAGGGAGCTGCTCTCCACGCCGCCCAGCTATGCCCCTGTAAATAGGCTATCGGATCGGTATCGGCCGATATGGTTAGTGAATAATCGGCTATTGGTATTGGCCAAGAAAATCGGTGCAATCCTAATAATCGACATTAATTGCATGAGAGCAGCAGAGTCTATTACCACCTTTTGTTGTGCCACCAATTTTCCTTTCATGTGGCACAACAACAGGTATCAACACTTGATTGCTCAGCATTTGTGCTGCCATAAAAAATTTTATGGCAGTGCAAATGAGACATCAGGTGACATCTGTTTCCACCCTTTACAGCAGTGTTGTCCAGCTTCTATTGCTTGATCCTAGTATTGTTTTATGTTAATTGTTTGCATGGTGGTAGACACCGAAAACATCTGATAAACAAACCTCATACTGTTGTAGTTTATTTACATATGTAATTCTAAATTAGCAATCTTGTTAATAAGTTAATAATAACTCTCTCTCTCTCAGGCCTTGACAAACATTGATCTCCTAGGTCTGGAAATCCAATTTCTGAAGTCAGGGAGCCCAAGCCCTCCTGCCTTCTAGAATTTTGTGTTTTTTCCCCCAAACACATTGCACAAGAAGGACGGATACATAAACAATTGTTAAGCCAGATGCTCTGGAAAGTTTTCTCCCCCTTCTTGTTCACCATATTGGTCCCAGGCCGGTTCCTGAGGTATACTGTAACTTTATTATGCTAGTGGGTATTGCCCACCTTTGAATTCCACTTCTATGAAAAAAATATTGCAGAATTTTCCTTTTCTCACCAATTGGAAGAGAAATCTGCCTTGTGACAGTATCCATCTTTATTATTTTCCTCTTGAGAAAGCAACTTTGTTGATGACTTTGTGATTATTTGGGGGGGGGGGGGGTTCTACACAGGAGAACTTACACAGGGATGAATCTATGTTAGTGTAATTATGCTGGTAAACATGCTCTAAGACAGGGTGTGAATGTTTTCTAAGTGTAAAAGTTAAGGCGTATGCTAGCACCAGATCACAAGAGTTAATAAAGCTAAGTAACACAGTACATTACATTAAGATTGGTGATGCATTCCACAGCTACACATTCAAACTTAACCTTACACATTAAAATGACCATGAAGTATATAACTCAGTTTCACATTTTTTTCTAGAACCTGACAGATAGAGGCAGGTAACTTGTTGGGGTTTTTTTTTTTTAATTTCCTACATGTGCCAGTTTCACAGTCAAGCCACTCTGAACACCCTCTGACTTTGGTTTTATCTGTGGGCTATTCGTTCCAAGGATGCCGGCCCTGATCTTGCTAGCAGAAGTAGCTGCCCAGAGCTCTCAGTAGTGGGATCACCGAGAGCGCCATCAGCACCATGCTCAGCACCACGGCTCTGCAGTCTTTTTGAAACCAGCAAAGTAGCCCCCAACATGAAATTCAGTGAGCAGTTGCCTCAGCCAGCCGTTTCCCACAGGCGTGACCTACACGGCCCCAGCAGCGAACACAGGAATGTACAAGAACTGCCACGTACTGGGTCAGCCCATGAGTTCATCCTGCCCAGTTTCCCATGTCACACACAGACAGCATTTCACTGCGCAGCGCCCACCAGCTCCTCAGACTCGTCCCCCCCCCTCGGCGCGCTAGTCCGACCAGCACCCCCATCCCTATTTTTGTTATTTGTCCCCAGTAATCAACTGTCACCTGTTTGGCAGCCTCCTGGGGCGGGGGAGGCCAATAGGTTAGTCGGGGCTCAGGCCCAGGTGACAGACGTCCAGTATCCCTGGCGGTGCCCAAGGCTGTCCGGGCGCGCTCCGCTCCGCTCCCCGCCCCGCCCCCGTGACGGACTGACCTCGCCCCCGCCCCGCGCCGTTA